TCCTCAAACATTCACCTCCCCCCTTTTCTCACACACCCCTTTTTGTAGTTCATCCGTAGACTGCTTGTGTAAAATGAACTGATCCCAGCAAGACTGGAACTGTACTGCCCATGCAGCCTTTTGTACAAGGGCATAAGGCAGCTCTAGCTGGTAAATGTAGCTCACATCTAACTGCTGCTGCTCCACAGCAGCACTTATGGAAACATATGTTTGTTATGTTGCTCAGTGCTAACAGGAATAGGACACTTACAGACAAGTTTTTCTGAGCTTCACTTTTTCACAGGGGGTCTGATTTTCTAGACCCCTGGAGTGTTTAGAATCATAGAATCAAGTTAGTTGGAAAAGACCTTTAAGATCACCAAGTCCAACGTTTACTGAAGGACTTTCAAGTCCACCACTAAACCATGTCACTGAGGTCCTCATCTACACAGTTTTTGAGCACTTCCAGGGATGGTGATGCCACCGCTGCCCTGGGCAGCCTGTTCCAATGCCTGACCACTCTCTCCGTGCAGAAATTCTTCCCAATATCCAATCTAAACCTCCCCTGATGCAGCTTGAGGCTGTTGCTTCTCAGTTTATCGCTTGTTACTTGGGAGCAGAGACTGACTGCTGCTTCACTACAGCCTCCTGTCGGGCAGTTGTAGAGAGTAGTAATGTCCCCCCTGAGCCTTCTCTTCTCCAGGTTAAACAACCCAAGTTCCCTCAGCTGTTCCTCATAAGACTTGTGCTCCAGACCTTTCAGCAGCTCCGTCGCCCTTCTTTGCACCTGCTCCAGCAAAGAAGCTTACAGTGTCTGTTCAGCATAATGATACTTCGCCTTTATTGTATTTTATTTGTTCAAACTACTGTGTTGGAACTTTCTATCCAGGCAGAAAAATTGCATTGCAAGGAGAAGAAGAAGCAACCAAAAGATAATGATGTATTATGTTGTGCTTTGGGCTTTTTTTAATGCTAATTCACAAGATTAAAAAGCACAAAGAAAATATACCTTTGGAACAGAAACCAGCCAGTTCCTAAGATGAAAATATGGCCACAGATATGACAGATACCTAAATACCTATTTTTAAAAGGAAAACATTTGCATTAAAAAAAGAAGAAATATCAATAATTTGGAGAAAAACGAAAAAGAAAACAACAACTAGTCTGGTTCATGAAAAGCATTTTGAACTTCTTTAGTTGCTTTGACTTTATGAGAAGGAAAAAGCAGGATCTCACAATTGCAGGAAATTTAAGCTGGCCTATGCAATTGATAAAGCTAATTTCATCCTTGGCTCTAATGCAGTGAAGGAAGTGAAACCTATTCCAATTTTCTAACAGTCTGATGGGGAGAAGCCTTTCTGAACTCACAAAAGATGAATATTTGTAACTAATTGGCAACTCTTGCCTTTGTTCCTTTACTTTCATTGCCCTTGATGCCCTCAAATGAGTGCATCTGATACTGCCAAGAATGACAGCATTCAAGTAGATAGTACCAATCTCAGAGTGTCCCAACAATTTATTGTTTATCTGGCAGTCTTACACTGGTATACTGGTGATGCACAAAATACAACTATAAAAGTAATTGTCTATCCAGTCACCTTTTCTCTGTAAGGGACAGGACACCTGTTTGTGCTTGCCTCTGGCCCAGAGAGGAGCCTGAAAGATCTATGATCCTTAGATTGTCTTATTAGGATGGCATCTGTATTTTTATGACCACCTTGCCCATCCTGACACTGAAGATCCTCAAAAGATTTGATGCTGAAAGTCTACCAGTGCTGGACCTCTGTCTCTAATTTCATCCTTGCCTCTGCTGCAATGAAGAGACCTGAAATTGAGCACTTTGGAGGGGGAAACAGCTTCAAAATTACAGGTGATCAACAGGAGTTTCTGATGAGGAAGTAGAAGGAATCTCAAAAAAATCTCTCAACCCCTCCAAAACCCAGAAGCATTTGGATACTTGGGCAAAGTTTATATGAAAACAGAAATCTGTTTGATAGTGTTATTAGCGGGACGCATGCAAGTACTGTAATGTAGCACAGCTTACAAGCTAAAAGCTCATCCCTGCTATTGCTGGTCATTTTGACCTCAAAGAGCAAACAGAAGTCCTCTGATAGGTCTGCAGAGACTCTGCCATGACTTCCTCAGAGCAGCTTCACAGCTCTTCTGTCTTTGCTGGCTCTCTAGCTTTTCCTGTAAGCCAAGTAGCCAGCCCTGCTCCATGCCTCATTCATCTCCTTGCTGTTTATTCAGCCTTCCAAGCGACCCCGTGTCCTCTGCTCCCACTGATTAGTTAAGTCCAGTCCTGGCTACACAAGATGAACCTTTCACGACTTTCTGAGAACCCTCCCATTAGAAAGATTTGAATAATCTGAAAGAAAAGAAGTTCTTCCTTTAAAATAAACTACGGTTGTAGCTTGTTGTCTAAGATAGAGTTGTAGAACTGCCTTTTTGCTTTGAAATAACTTTGTATCTGCTGGCTGGGTGATGATGAGGTTTATCACTCCTGTTGCCTCAGTATTGCATTCTGCTGGAGGTAGACTCAGGCTGCAGGCAGAAGGTCACACATGTGGCTTCCACACCCTGCTGAACAATTTAGCTGAAAAACTGGCCACGTTGCAGAACTGTTTTGGGTCAAGTCCATGGGTGTGGAGACATCACTTACACATAGCAGAGTCCTTCTCTGAAAGAACTCTAATCCTGATTTATCAGAGCCAAGCCTCCCTTCAGATAACCATGGCTGCTGTTTTGGATTTCTCAGAGCTGTGAACTGAGATAGTGCTGGAACACCTCCCTATCATAGACACTGAGATTTTGCAAGAAATGCTTTTTGATGGTACCTGACTGCAACTTCTGCAGCTAATAGAGATATGTAAATGTGAAGGATATAACTTAGCTCCAGAGAAGCAGCCTCTAAGGAAAGCAGCCTCTAAGGAGAGTAGCCTCTAAGGAGAAAACCTCTAAAGAGAGCAGCCTCTAAGGATACAGCAGCTCCAGAGAAGCAGCTTGGAGTTGTCTGTCAGACTAGACAGTGTGGCAGGAATTTAACCAATATTCCTTCAGGTTTAAAATAATACATCTGTAGATGTCTTTGCTTTACAAGTGAGACCAAGGTATCATCCACTACAGCAATAGAAATCTGAAACAGAACTGGTGTAGCAGCTAATGTAACAGGTTACAGGAGCAATTCTACTTCCTCCTGACCCAGCGGGGTTTGTAGCAGTGAACGCTGTCAATGCTCTTGATCTGGCTATCTGTGCTCTTTAGAAGACATACATGAATATTGCCCCCCCATGCTCTGTTCCTGTTGCCACTCTTCTCTCCATTCTGCCCTTACCAATAGCCAAGTCTTCCATCTTGCATATTCCCAAGCATCAGTGTGCAGACTTGTTAATATTACCAAAAATTTGTTAACACTGTCTGTGATGTCCTTCTAGTTGCTATACTTTGGCCAACAGGCCCCATAGGAATGCCTGATTTTGCAAGTGCAGAGTTTGGAATTTGTTTCAGACTAGTTATTGTTCTTTCTGCTTCCTTGCCAAGCTTTTCTGTGGCCATTAATCGATCTGACATGGCCTTTGGTAACATATCAAGTCTGAATCGTTTTTAAGAACTGGAGGTTTTCTCAAAGAAGTACAGACAGGCTGACACCTAAAATAATGTTTTAGAAAATGGTATGTACTTAGAAGCACGAGCCATACAGCGCTGGGTTGCCACTACTGATTCTCCTTTGCTTTCTCCAACGCGATGCATGGAAGAGTGTACAGCAAAGGGAAGTTGCATTGTTGCATCAGGAATAAGAGTGTCAGGCACAGATTTGTGCCTTAGTATGTGTAAGATTTGTGAAGCCTTCAGTGCCTTGTAACAGATCCTTCAAAAATTTAGAATATTTCAGCAAAGATCTACTGACATTTCTGGCACTATCAAGGTTTAGATTCCCACTTGCTGTTTTTTCCCCCATATTTATGATGTTCCATGTCAACAGACCTTGAAAATATTTTTTTTTCCACTCTTAAGTAAGTTACTAGAAATTATAAATGAAATAAATTATTTCTGTATCAGAGTTGAAGATAAGGAAAGCAGGAGAGAATTTGATAAGCACATGTTCCTAGTATCTGGGAGACAGGAAAAAAATGCAAGGAATATTGAAAAAAGCTCTTAGGAGCAAGCAGTTCCCAAAGCAAGGAAACTTAAGAAGCCAAGTTTTTAATGGATTTCTGTGCCACAGATGACTATTAAAAATGAATTACAGAAAAAGCTGTGGTGTGAATTTCCGAGCATTAGACATGGAAAATTAATTCAACAACTAGGATAAAAACCCTTCAGCTGGATTTCATGTCTCTTCATGCAACACAGGGAACCTAGTTTTTCTTTGGAAGAGATGGAACTCATCTCTCACATGGGTCATCTGTACAGCTGAACTTACATTACTTATCAGCTCCCTCCTACATGTCACCAGCTGCCTCAGCTTATCTACAGTACATGCAGGAAGGTCTTGGTTTGGTACCATAACCTTCCCGCCCTCTTTAACTCAAAATGGACAAAATCCAAAAGGTATTAGGAGTACTGGCAGGACACATATAGTCGCACTTACGCATGTATGGTATGTATTGAAGAAGTCTTGATTCTTTAGTAAGACAAGCTAAAGCCTACATAAATTTCATGTGAATTAGCACAACATTATCCCTATAATGATGTGGAGAAAAAGAAGCCCCAGCTTTCTGTGCAGTTCAGTATAGCCCTGTTCTGCATTACACACTTCATCAAACCTGGAAAACTGCCTGCAATTCTGGACAGTGAGCTAAAAGCTTGAATTATGTCTTGGTTTTATTGTACAGTAAATTATAGAACCTAATGGTCTGTTCTCCATTTATACAGAATGGAGGGAAAGCTGGTGAATGGATTGGTGAGTAGACAGAAAAACTGTTGTTTAGGTCATTTACAAAGAAAATCTGGCCATGTCAGATTGATTGGGCAAGAATTTGCATCTGTTTGTGCTTGGAAGACCAGTAAAGTGATTTCCATAGTTTTGAGGAAACACCCTTTTATTGTAGAGAGTGTATTGTGTACACAGATGCAATGTATTTACAACTGGCTTTTCTCAAGCAGATGACTGTTTAAAATCCTTCACAAATCTGTCAAGAATGAAAGAAAATGAAGCTCAGAAGCCCAGCCAGCCAGCCCAACCCCCAAATTCAGATTCATTCCTGAAGATAACTGTAATGAGATAATAATACATGGAGTTATTTTGAAGGAAGCAATAGGACTGTGACAGAGATCAATGGATGGACTTCAGGATTGGTTCAGTCAAAAGCATTGCTTAGTTTGTTCTCAAAGTAGATGAACCCCAAAGTAAAATTCCAACAAGCAGATGGGGATCTGCCTTTCCCAGGGGTGTGGAAGAGGCAGGCAGAGTCTGGCCCTTCCTTCCCTGGCCTCTGCAAGGACAGGTCACAGTTGCAATCTCCATGTAGAGTTGTTCCTGTGTTCCCCTGGAAAGCTCTTTTTCCAGGAAAAGCCAGGAAAAGTTGCACTCTTGTTCATTCTGCACAATGGAGTCAGTGCACTGAGGGCGAGAACGCGTGTCCTCCTTAGGGAGGGTGTGAACTCACATGCCAGCCCAGCCACAGGAGACACAGCAGCAAGGTTTCTTCTGGTGCCCCTCTGCACTGTGGCTCAGCTCTGCACTGCGGCTCAGCTCTGCACTACCCTTTATCTGGGGTGGTGTGCAGTGGCATCAGTCTAGCTTCAACCTGTTCAATCACCCCAAAAGCAGAGGAGACAACACAGAGGGAAACCAAGAGAGGTAGAGACACACATTATATTCCCTTCCTTGTTCCTTTTCAATTAAAAGTAGAACCTTCATCAGCAACAAAAAGTTACATGTGCAGGAGGCACTTCTCCGGGGAATAAATAAATACCTCAAGCAAGCATTCATGGATGGATGAGTCCCATGGGAAAGATTCCCAGCACAACCAGTTCAGTCATAAAAGGAATCTAAAATCTCCACGCTGATGTATATGAGAAACATGCAAAACATTTCTGTTGATACTTGAGGAAGTTACATGCATAAATTTCCCATAGGTTGGGAACATATATCTTAGAATCTGCATAATTTAGTTCACACTCAGCAGAACATTGTGATATTTACAGGCACATTCCAATGGAAAAACATTTGCATATTGAGTGTGAAAGTTGCAGCTTTGTCACCTAACCATGGGACTTTAAAAGTAGGGATTTTGTGACCTCAAAATACTATTTGTGAGGTTCATGGGAAGGAAAAAGGTGTACAGGCAGGAAAAGAAAATTACAAAAAGTTGGTAAGAACTATTTTTTTTTTTTTTAAGTGTTAAAACGGTTGTAGGCTGGGACAAGGTGAGTCCATGTAGACCACAAGTTCTGGCTTGTTACACACCAGAGTGCTTTGTCTACTCTTATTTCCCATACTTATTCTTCCCAATTAAATTTGTTTCCCATTAGCCAGGTTGATAAGTGTATGGATAGTGCATAAGAATCATTCTTCTTCTTGCAATCATCATCCTTTATAGCGTAACAACTTAATAAATCCCTGCAGAACAGGAACGAAGTGGAATGTCACTGTTTTGGACTTGGTCTGTATTCTGAAGGTGAAAGTGGGCATCTGAGAAACACATTTGTAATGCTTTGGAAGGTTCACAAATGAAAAAAAAAAAGTAAGTTACACTCTCAACGTGATTGGGAATGCAAAGTTCTATGTTCTCGATCAATCACTGAGTGTCAGACATGGTGGAAAAAGCTATTCAGTGACTACTCTAACCGTAGCACTACCAAGAATTGTTCTGAAAGTAGTTCACTAGTTTCTGAAACACTACTGCAGCAAATTATTAAAACTATCTACAGAATTTTAATGATACAGTTTAGTTTTCAATATGTCAGCGAACCAGCAATGTATAACCCATAGAGGCTGTATCCTGGAAGTGGAATTGTCAAACTATTGCTCCAATGTCTGAAAAGTAAAGCTATCCTCCCTAGGTACACAGCACTCTGTCACTTATGCTGACACATAAGGTGGTGGTGGATCTTTAGCAGCTCCATTCACAGGATCATCATAAGGTGGCAACAGGACCTGCAGGAAAGAAAAAAAAGTTATATTTTTTAAAAAGAAGCTATCTGATAAAATTTACCGAAAAGAAAACCCTTACGGCCTTGGCCCAAAAAAATAGTCAAAAAAGAGTAAATTAGTAAGCAGGAGCAGACAGTTAGAAAATGAAACACTGTTAGTCTGAAGTTCCTCCTTTTCAATTTGTGTGACTGTTTTCATTATGAAGGAAAATGTGATTTCTCCTCATTTCTTACTGACTCCAGTGACAGCTTGATTTCAGCCAAAGATCATTCATTGATGGTACCTGAATTTGTTCAGCCTGGTAGTGACAGTAGCTGCTTATTCTGCAGCTCTCCTCTGTCAAGAGTGCTTAAATTATGTCTTCTGGAGGAGCGCTTGAACTGCTAAGCCAGAGTGAGAAAAGTCCTGAAAACTTCTCTTCCTGAGCTCTCTCTGGAATAGCTAATAATTTCTTGGGGGGGAATAAAAAAAGAAAATGGAGACCAAATTACACAATGTCTAAATAAATCTCCAGTTTTGTGCTTCTGGGGCACTCAGCCATAAGAAGAAAGACCTACATTCCCAAAAGCACTTCAGTGAATACTTAAACATCTGATAGAAATTAGGGCAGCTTTAATCATATATCATCCCCATTCATAGGAGTCCAGGCAGCTTCCTAGGGCATGGGAGATGCAAGTTCAGGCCACACTGGGCAGAGAAGAGATTGGAACCAAGATTTCTACTTCTTTAGGCAAGAAAGCTAGCTATTGTGCAATTTTTGATGGCACCAGCACTAACATTAATTAGCTTGCATGTGAAAAGGCAAAGGAGCACTTGGTCTGTGAATCCCAGCAGGGACTGAGGATAAAACAGATGCCTGAATGAAGAACGAGTGTGTATGTTCCCTAAAATATCTCAGTATTTTGTAAGAATATCAGTTGTAATGCATTGGCAGAAATATTTTATGCAGCTGAAGATCAATTATTCATGATGGAATTTTCAGATTTATCATTATTGCTTCTTGGTCATTGAAAAGTACATAAAGCTGATTGTCTAAACATGCATAGGGAAAATCCTGATCTCAATAAAGTCAATGGAAGCTTCACCATGAGAGGATGTCACCTGTTCCTAATGAAGTTGATAAACCTGCCTGCAAAGAAGCATCTGTAATCATCCATTTTGGACCTCATCCACAACATAACAAAATCAGTGGGAACCTTTCTATAGATTTAAATAGACTTTGGATCATGGTTTTGTAGGATAGTTCCATGGTTTTGTAGGATAGTTCACAATTATGCTTATGTGAGTTTACAGACGTGTTGATGAGCATGTGTTCAAGTACATCTGTGCAAGTTTGTTAGATTACAGAATGGTTACCCTGGCATCTTCAGCCCTTAATCAAAAAAGTTTCATTATTTAGAAAAGAAAATTGTCAGGCCATCACTCTTTATTAATACCATATGTTTGAGTTTGTAAATACAATACACTATGCACACTGTATAATAAAAAAAACTTGTATTGAACAGCATTTAATAGATTATATCAACTTTAAAGGGTGCAAACAGTTCACAGCAGACTAATCTAGTGAAATTAGGACAACACAGGGAACTTCAAATAAACATTGTGATAAAAAATAATAAACATATTTTGCAATGTAACTTTGGCGAATCAAACTGCTAGACCATGTAAACTGAAAAACACTACAGTTGAGAGCCTCTTCCTAGTACTGATCGTTAGTTTAATAATAGGGTTTCTAGTAAAATCCTTGTGTTACTAAAAAAGCACTAGTTTCTCAAATGTACTGAAATGTTCATTAGTTGATTATGAAGCAATATAATTTGTAATTAAATCTGTTCTACAGATGACTCTGAAAATGAATCAAGTTCACTTTGTGAAGATTTAGCTGTCTTACTGAACTCTTGTAATCCTAAACCCCAAACTGTGGTCCATTTCTTTCAGGTTCAGAGTCCATCAGGTGTGATAAGAAATAACAACAGATGCAATCCAAAAAGTTGTCCATCTTCCAGGTCTATGAGCTGATTAATAAAGGACAATACCTCTTCCTGCGCTCTGATCATCTTTTAGGTCAATGTGTGCTAAGACTACTGTAGTTACATCAGTGTTATTACTTCAGCATTGAAGTTGCTGTCATTCACAGTAGGTCTACTAGAGGATTTACTGAGATGAGTAAGTGTCTTCGTTCCCTTCACTCCAGTATGAAACAAAATCTGTTTATTAGTAGAACAGCCTTCTGGCGAGTCTTTTACCTCCTCTGAGGTGGGCACTCTGATTTGCTCTATGGACCCAAAGCTCTTACATGGGTCCATGTCCCCAGGAACCCTGGGACAATGCCTTATCACAAGAAAATATCTGCAGTGGAAATATCTGCAAATGTCTGTAAGGTTTAGGGTCACTGTATTGCTGGCAAAGGTTATTTGTCTGAACAGTTCTATCAGTGATGACTTTACAGGTTTACTCCCCACACATTTTTGTGTTTAAATACTTCAGTCTCCTGATCTTGCATACCCTGGCATGAACACAACAGTGATAACAAAGTAAGTGTAGAATGAGCAGAATTCAAAATTACTACCTTTGCCTAACAGTGTCTGAGTTAGACAAAGAAACTATCACCAGGATATTAAACAAAGGGTAAGGTGAATGAAGATGTTGGACAAAACACGGAAGAAAGCACTCAGGGTTTGTGGAATATATGGTTGGGACCCCAAGTATCTCATGTCATTAGTATAGTAAAAGTCTTTTAAACTAATATAACTGTTCAGCTTTCAGCCAGTGTGGTTTTATTATTGTTATTTAATCATTTGTTTAAATAATCATCCTTCAGCTTTCACAACAGCTTGGATAACTCTGCAACCACTCTAGAACTACAAATATTGCAACTCTGCCTCTGTAAGACTACCTTTTAACTATTTTTTACATTACTTTCCCTTAACAATTTTTCCATCTTTTCTCAATTAAATCAACTTTTCTAAGTTAATTTTGGCAAAAGGGAAAAATACAATAAAACCTGAATTATCTCAGCTTTTAACTGTTCACTGTTGAAAAGGTTAACAGTTTACAAAAATCTTAAGGAAAAGAGAATTTCATTAGAATTTTAATCACTGAATTTATACCAAAGTATCTGGTATGAAAATCTAGATCAGAGTGGTTTTCCCTTCTCTTGTGTTAATTTTAAATCTCAGCATGGTTTAATGGAAGCAGGTAAATGCCTGGGACATGAAACAGCATAGTTATTCAGGCAGTATGTTACACTCTCCAGACACATAAAATGGAAGCCAGTCACTGAGCCAAAGGGTGAATTCAGAAACTGGAAAAATAAACATAAACTCACTACTCAGTCTTATATAAGAACCTAATTAGAATGGATGCAGTCTAAAATAATTCACGAAGAACAAAAATATGCATATTTTACGTCCATGGTATCCACAGGGTACAACATCCACTAGGGCAACTGATGCATTGCTTCCTAGGCACTACATTTGCTTGTTTGTTGTGAATTGGGAAAACTGTATGTTAGTTCCCCTGGATGCTCTGGGACTAACGTTTACAGTGTGTTTGAGATTGTCACTGGCAAGTTACTACAAAACGTAGGTATGAAGGACCCCCATTTTTGGAACTCAGTGATCCCTGTGAAAAGACATTCTGGCTTTTTATCAGTAGACCAGCAAACAAGTTTAGATGGTTGCAGGGGTCAGTACTATAAGATGCCTAAAATCCAAAGGACAGAAGCTCCTGACTTCTTTCAAAACCCCTATAGTTGTATTTAAGAACCATGTAGCATTTTAACATCATTCCTTACTATGCAGCCAATGGAGGAGCTGACATGACTAGTTGTCTGGTGATAAGCATTGCACAGAGACTATTGAGATCAGAGCTGTAGGGGCTCCCAAACCAAGAGGGTTCAACCCACAGCTCTTGCCATATGAATGCTCCAGACACAAGGTTTTCAGTCAGGTTGGAAGAACCATTTTCCACCTTCCCGTTGTCACAGTGAAGCCAAGTGTGCAAGAATCCATGGGGAAAGAAAGAAAATAGGAGAAAATGTGACTGTGTAGCCCGATGGACAGGTTAGGTGCTTAAGTGGGACAGGGAGCCCCGGGTGCTGGGCTTTGCTCCCAACACCATTTAGGCATTTTGTGATAAGCAGTCTTGTTGTATAATACACAGAAATAATCCAGAACTGACCCACGAGGAATCCTGGTCCTGACTTAGCTGTTGTCATCCAAGTGGTTTGAATAATTGTATTACATAAATATCTCTCTATTATAAACCACATGATACATGATGACCTTTTCTGGAAGAAATAATTACCATACAGGTTTGCCAAAAGCTATAACATATTCAGATAACATAAGCATTTGTCATTTATTTTCTACATCCTGGTTAATCTAGCTTTGGAGAGCAATTTTTTAAAACATTGCTTAGAAATATGCCTAAGAAGAAAAACAGGCAAATACTTGTATATTCAAACAGCCTGAAATTAATCTTGGCCCAAAAGGTTTTTTTTTCTGGAGAGGAATTGACTTTTAATAGTGACTCTGTACCTTTGCAGCTGATTTCCACATTTACCTGAACTTCCAGTGGAAAATTTTCTTTTTTCATCTTATGTACAAGTTTCCTCATATTGCTGCCATTATCGCTGTTTGAACTCAAACTCTTAGATCTGTTTGGTATCTAGGACATTTGTAAAGAAAATGTGCTTAGTCCTGTATGAGTAAATTTCAATATTTGATTCATTGATTATTTCTACATTCTTGATAGTCTCATCCAAAACTCACTGAACTCAATAGAAATCTTCCTGTGTCTCCAGAGAACTTTGGATCACTTCTTTCCAAGCCATTTGTATTCTTCACCGTGTAGAACGGTACAGTTGTCACATAGCAGCTTTGAGTTTAACAGCATTTTGTCTGGCAGCTATATGTCTCCATGGCAAAACACCTTGCTGATGTCTTGTTAGAAACAAACGCTGCTAGGGACAGCTCTAACATACTTTCCTCTAACACCTT